GCACATTCACTTTTTGTATCTTGGTTGAGTATTCCAGAGAGCTGTAGAGATGTATAGATAGAATGGCAAGGTGTCCCAGTATCTGCTAGAGGGATGTTCAGAAATCGTACCACCGCGAAACAAACCACACTAAAGGAAGCGAAGCCGCAGAGGAACCGCCCGAATTTGGGGGAAAATGGCCTTTTTATATCCTGCAAAACTGGTTNGCCCGAATTTGGGGGAAAATGGCCTTTTTATATCCTGCAAAACTGGTTTAGCGATCTCTGGTGAGATTCTTGAAATATTTTTGCTGTATTTGATTGGTTAATGTGATAGAATCTTTTACGTGAGCATTTTATGGAATGCGTAAGAGGGAGGTAAAATCTTGTGTAAGGGTATTATTTTATTACTCATCTTATCCACGGGGAAACACTGATTTGGTGATATATTTTATTAAATATAAGTATTAATTATTACATGTATTAAAATGTGATACTACACAGTAGTTTAGTGACCCTTGTTTTTCTTATTTTATAGCACCATAAAGTTACAAAATTTATATTTTCTGGCCCAATTATTCGAATTTTGAAGTGAATCTTTTTTATAGATAGTCCGAAAAATACGATAATCGAGCGTCATGATCGGCCACGGTTGGCTGTAAAGTATATTTTACATTATAATTTAATTTATGAAGTTTCCGTTTATCTGCGCATACTCTTAATACGAAAATGTTTTTTTTTTACAATATGTGTAACGTTTCAACATAAATAAGAAGTAAATGGTGTAAATTTACTTATGTTTTTAATTATGCTCCTGTAATATTTGGTGCTCTCTCAGAACATTTAACCTAGAACTACCATTAGTATTTATACTACTACACTGAGTTTTTGCATCCTAATTTTTATTAAATATTACAGCATTATGCAATTCCGAACAACAAAAGTTTACAAATGTTGTCCTGTGTAACTGAATTCTTCTTATATTCTAAAATAATACTAAAAATTTAATTTTTTTTGAAATAGAAAGAGTTGAAAAATTATTTTATTAACGTATTTCCATTAAATTTTGTAAACCTAATTTCTTTAAACACCCTACAACTGATTTTAAAAATTACGTTTTAATAAATTTGAATGTAATAAGATATGATAAAAACTTTTTCTTGAAACACATTTTTATATTTTCATTATGTTTTGAGAAAAATTATTAAAAAAACATGAAATTTTAAATACACTCTATTTAAGATATTCATATTTTATAGATCGAGTAAGTGTAAGAATTTTCAAGATTTTGAATTTTTTGGCTAGAATTAAAAAGAGAGGCGATGACAAAAGAGTAAAATCACATAATAATTAGTTTATTAGCCTTTATATATGACTTATTTATTAAATTAGTTTTTATTCTTTAGATAGAAAAACTTGATATAAATGAGTTTCAAATAATCTCAAATAAATTCAGTAATCTTGATACAGACAACGATTGCGTATTAAATAAGGAACAATGCATTACATTGGTTGAATCTATTGGTTACTGTCATTCTAGTAGTGGATTCGTAATTATAAATTTATTTAAAAATATTCATAATTATGTACATACAAGATACATTGCATATGATTTTTTCTCTCTACACAAAAATAGTACAGCCAATATTGATTTTGAAAAAATAATAATAAATAAGATCATAAAAATATATGCACACGAATTATGACCAAAAATATTCAGTGTTCCTCACAATAATTTTACATATATTTTTATTCTCAATTTTTAATAAATCTCACAACAAGAAAATTATAGTTACGTTAACTTTTCTGAATTAGAACTTATCCAACTTTACTTAACACAAAATACAATTTAAGAGATCATAAAATAAATTTTATACAGTGCAATTTATTAAATATA